AGCTCCTCTCTGTTCTTTTACATCACTCCATTCAGCAATGTTCCCTGACAGGCCTTAATCTCGCAAGTACAGGCCCCTCAATCTCCCACCTATTTTTTTGTCGATGATACCTTTTTTTTTTTGGGTCATGTTTCCCCTTACCAGTCTTGTGAAATCCTGAGACTCCTTCATTGCTATTATCTCAACTCTGGCCAGAAGATAAACTTATCCAAATCCTCTATTTTTTTAACAAAAACACTCAATTACCTGTCCAAGCTGAGATATGTAGCCTTTTTAATCATATTCAAGTCCAATTTTCAACCAGATACCTCAGATTCCCCCTTGGCATTGTGCACTTAAAAAAAGAAGAATTTAATTTTGTGGTAGAGGCTGTGAAAAAAAAAATAACTAATTGAAAGAACAAGTTCCTTTCCTCTGCAGCATAGAGGTCCTGATTAAAGTTGTCCTCTCTTCCCTCCCCACATTTATTATGTCTTGTATTCTTCTGCCCTCTAGCCTCTGTTCTGAAATTGCTAAATTGTTTGCTAACTTTTGGTGATCTAAAGGAGAAAATCAGTCGAAAGGGTTACATTGAAAAAATGAAATCATTTAACACTCCCAACTGCTAATGGGGGTTGGGCTTCTCTAATCTCAAGCTCTTTAATGAATCTCTCGTTCCAAAACAACTTTGGAGAATTCACACCAAGCCTCATTTGATTGTTGGTCAAATTCTAAAGAACAAAATACTTCCCCAACTACTCTTTACTTGATAATAAACCTCCTTAAAGCAGCTCTTGGCTTTATAGGAGCTGGATGAGTATGAGTTCTATTTTTGGAAAGGGTTTATTAATGATCATAAGAGACGACAGAGATACAAGGATATGGGACCACCCTTGGATCCTCTTTTTACCCAACCGCATACCAAGCAGAGGAGTCACTGAGGGCAGCAACCTAACTTGGGTCTGAGTGCTTCTCTATCAGGCCTGGATGCATGGGATGAGGCTCTGCTCAGACAAACATTCCCCCTGCTAACTGTGAAGCAACTATAAGTATCGCCACATTGACAAATCTCGGAGGGACACACTCACTTGGTGCTTCAGTAAGAAAGGAAATTTTACAGTAGCTTCTGCTTATGAAAACCTCATAAAAGCAAGATCCTAGGATAGATTTGCCTGAATCCAGTAACCAACACTCTTGGATTCTCAGGGTTAGAAGATTCAGCTGGAAACTCAAAATAAAAAAGAAAATAAAACACTTCATCTGGAAGTGCTTTCTGGGATATTGCCACCGCTTTCAAACCTGAGCAAGAGAGGTATCAAAGTGGATAGCATATGTAAAGCCTGTGGTGTTATCGAGGAGACGACTGAGCACATTCTTTTCAACTGCCTAGAGCAAAGCTTGTTTGGATGCTAGCCCCCGATGAGATGGAATTCACTGCAAAGGGACATTATCTGCTTCAAAAGCTAGTGAAAAGAAGTAGGCCTGATGCACATGAGCAAGGAGACTAAAGATAGAATCCAACTAACCACATATATCCTTTGGTGGTTATGGAAATCTTGAATTATTTGGGTCTTAAAAAATCAATGGCAGAATGAGAAGGTTGTGGTAGATGGAGCTAGTTCAGAATGGCTATAGTTCTCTGCAACGTGTTAGTTTATCTGTATTTTGTTCCTTTTATTTTGTCCTAGCTAGGCTGCTGCAGTGGCTAAGTGGCATTGGTTTGACAAATGACAAGTCTCAGGGCTCAAGTATTCTATATTGCCCAATAGACGAGCCATGTGTCCCTTTATCCCTACTAGACCATCTGTGTGGTTCTCCATTTTTTCGTATTTGTTGGTTGTTCCCCTTGTTGGGGTTGTTTTCTGTTATTTTCAGTTGCTCTCGAAGCGAAAGACCTGAATATTTTGTTCTCTTTTTATCTTAATGCAGTATTCTTTATTTTGAAAAAAATATATATATATATATATATATTAAAATTGATGTGATGTATGAGGATAATTATTTAATTATATTTATAATATTGATGAGGTTGCCTTGAATTTAATTTGAATTTATCTTGATTTAAATAAATTATCTTCTCAAAAGTGATCAAATAATTTATAATGGCTTGAGGAGTTGTTTACATGTTGAGTACCTTATTAATTAGCCTATATTTCAGATAGATATATTTTATTTACATCACCATAGAAATACATCTAACTTAATCCTATAAAACATATTGACATAAGAATCCAATTTTTTTTCCTAGGCAAACAAATAAATTTATATCTACCCGAAAGTACAAGTACAACGAGCAATCAAATGATCACAAGGCCCTAAAACATCAACACAACATCCCAGGGGCTACAAGAAAGAGAACACTCTTCCCCTCAAAGACCCTACAGGTCACCCAAAAACAAGAAACCTAAAAACCACAAACATGTTAACATTAGAAGAACACACAAAGTTCGAATTTGAACTAATAAAATAGCATAACCAAAGTCAATAGATTCAAACTTCTTCAGGGCTGTGACAGTTAACGCATTATTCTAAAAGCAGGTACAAGAAGACCACTTTAAATTGGAATGTCTAAGCTTCAGCAGGCTCCAGTGTGTTGCAAGTAGAGCTGCCTCAATTTCATCTTTAGCGTTTGTTTTATGTCCTTCCCAGTGAAAGTTTATCTAAAGAAGACTCTTTCCCTATATGCAGCTTCTTGGAATCCCATTCAAGCCATTCTAATTTTGCTCCTTCAACTACTTCCACTTCATGAATCCAATCGCCTTTGAAGACCCACTTATTTCTTGATTTCCAAATGTTCCACATAAGAAAAGCAGATAATTTGAGTCTATCTCTCAAGTCAGCAGCAATACCCTTATAACATGTTTTCCTTCCACCATCTCCGGAAATCCATTTACTTTTGATTCATTAGGTTTTTTTCTGTCCCACTCAGCTTCAAGCATATTATAGACTTCAGGCAATTAAACAACAAATGGTTTATATTCTCATCTCCCCC